GCAGTAGAGGGGACTTGGGCTCGCCACAGTGAGGGGGACAGTGCATTGTGGGGTAGGTGGGGCTTGTGTGGGGGTCCTTAGAGCAAGGCCCAGCAAGCAGGAGCCGCTGAGTGGGGGCCTTGGGTGGCTATCCTTATCCTTTTATTCAGGAGGCAGAAAGGACAGAGTGGGCTCTGTCTTGGTCCATTTGTGTGGCTATAACACAACACCTGAGACACTCACCGCCTAGAGGCTGCAGTCCAAGGCCAGGAGGCTGTGTCTGGTGAGGGCCTTGCTGTATTGTCCCGTAGCAGAAGGGGGAGGTGGGAGAGAGTGGGTGAGAGAGGTCTGAACCAATGTGTGTATTCATGTGTGCATGTGTCTCTGTGTGTTTGCATGTTCATGTGTGTGCATGTTGTATGTGCATGCATGTGTGTGCATGTTCATGCATGTACATATGTCTGTTTTCATGTGTGCATGTGTCTGTGTGTGTGTTCACATGTGTGCGTATGTGCTTTCATGCAGGGGTGAGGGGACACAGAGGGCCAGGGCTGTCTGCAGTCTGCAGTGGCAGGTTGGATTCAGGTGTGGTAGGGCCTGCCTCAGTGGCAGGAATGTGGTTCTGGAAACACTGAGCTTCAGGATGAGGTCCCTGATATGCAATGAGGCTCTGGAGAAAAGCTTCCCATGTGGGAAATGCTCCTGCAGGTAAGCAGTGAGTGAGGAAAGGCCTTCCCAGATTTTCTTTGTGGAAAAATGGTGCTGGCAGCAACTGAGGAGGGGCTTGGGCAAAGTGCAGGTTAAAAAAGAAAGAGGCCAAAACAGGCCTGGCAGTAGTGGGCCCAGGAGGGAGGGATGGGAGGGGCTTGCAGAGCGGTGGGGAGGAGGCGGGAGAGGGTCCTTGAGTCTGGGATGTGCGATTGGGTTGCTGTGTGCAGCGTCTTCATGCAGGTGGCGGTTGGAACCGTGGGCATGAAGATTTTTAGAAGACACCTGCAGGCATTCATGTGGGATCGTTCACTCCAGCTATGTTATGCTTTTCGTTTCCTTTCTTTTTTCCTTTCTCAGAACCGTGTATTCCCACGGGCACTTTCAGCATGAATGCCTCTGTTTTCCACTAATTCCTGTGCTCCCAGCCGCTGTGTATGGTCAGGAGAGTTCTCTGCGCTCCCCAGTCAACACTGGGACCAAGGCTGAGTGTGAGCTGCAGGGATGTTTGTTGAATGAATGAATGAGTTACTACAGAGGAGTGACCAGAGAGGCAGGAGAGTCAGGAGGCTGGCATATTGAGGGAGCCAAGAGAAAACAATTTCAAGAAGGAGGGTGTTTGACGGTGCCACGTGTCACACAGACACATCAGGAGCAGTGAGGGGCAGTGGGGGGTCTGTAAAACGGATGCTGTAAGTTCCCATGTAAGCTTCAGGTGCTTGAGAGTGAAGCCAGGTTGTATTTGGTTGGGGAAAGAATGGAAGTACAGGAAGGGGGGGTCCTCAGTTACTGATGTTTGAGGCCCTACGAAACAGGTTGAAGCTTTACTCTAGCTATGCAAGGCTGGTTCAATATTCAAAAATCAGTTGATGTGATCATCCCATCAGCAGGCTAAAGAAGAGAAGTCCTGTGGTCATATTCATAGATGCAGAAAAGGCATTTGAAAAAATCTAGTCCCGTTAATGATAAAAACTTTCAGTGAGCTGGGGATGGAAGGGAACTTCTCGAACTGAATAAAGAAAATCTAAAAACCCCCCACAGCTAAGTTCTCACCAAACGGTGAGAAATTTGGAGCTTCCCGCAGAGATCAGAAATGAGGAAGCGTGGCCTCTCACCCCTCCTTTTTAACACCATACTGGAAGTCCCAGCTAATGCAATAAGACAAGAAAAGGAAATAAAAGATATGCATATTGGGATATAATAAATAAAAATGCATTTGTCAACGGATGACATGACTATGTAGAAGATTGCAAAGAAGAATCAGTGGAAAAATCTTTTTTTTTTTTTTTTTTTGAGATGGAGTCTCACTCTGTTGCCCAGGCTGGAGTGCAATGGTGCAATCTTGGCTCATTGCAACCTCCACCTCCCTGGTTCAAGGAATTCTCATGCCTCAGCCTCCTGAGTACCTGGGATTACAGGCACACACCACCACACCCAGCTAATTTTGTATTTTTGGTAGAGACGGGATTTCTCCATGTTGGTCAGGCTGGTCTTGAACTCCTGACCTGAGGTGATCTGCCCACCTTGGCCTCCCAGAGTGCTGGGATTACAGGCGTGAGCCACCACACCCAGCAGTGGAAAAATCTTCTGAAACTAATCAACAGTTTTAGCAGGGTTTTAGAATGCAGGGTTAATATGCACAAGTCAGTCACTTCATTTTATACCAGCAGTGAATGAGTAGAATTTGAGATTAAAAACACAGAACCATTTACATTAGTACCAAAAAAAGGTAAAATGCTTATGTAAAAGTTGAACAAAATAGCATAAGATCTATATGAGGAAAACTACAAAACTCTGATGGAAGAAATGAAAGGAGAGCTAAGTAATGGGGAGGTGCTCCATATCCTTGGATAGGAAGAATCCGTGTTGTTGAGATATCCGTTCTTCTCAATGTGTTCTATACATTCAGTGCAATCCCCATCAAGATCCCAGCATGTTATTTTGTGGATATCAACAAATCGATCCTAAAGGTTACATGAAGAGGCAGAAGACCCAGACAAGCCAACACAGTATTTAAGGAGAACAAGGTCACAGAACTGATGGTTGACCTCAAGACTTACTAGAAAGCTACAGTAATCAAGACAGTGTGGCACTGGTAAACAAAGAGACAAATAGATCAATGGAACAGAACAGAGGGTCCAGAGACAGACCCACGTAAATACAGCCAGCTGATCTTCGATGAAGGAGCAAAGGCCATTCAGTGGAGAGAGGATGCTCTTATCAACAAATGGTGCTGGAGTGATGGGACATCATGTCACCAAAATGAACCTAGAACCAGACCTTACACCCTTCACAAAATTAACTCAAAATTGATTATACCTATAAAACTCCTAGGAGATAATATGGGAGAACCCTGGGTAACCTTTGATTTGGTGACTTTTTAGATATACCACCAACTGCATGATGCATGAGAAAAATGGAAAATTGGACTTCATTAAAATGAACAGCCTCTGCTCTGCAAAGACACTCTTCAGAGGATGGAACCACAAAGTCCAGACAGGGAGAAAATAGTGGCAAAACACACATCTGATGGAGGACGAGTGTGCAAAATATACAAATAATTTTCAAATTTCAACGGTGAGAAAACAACCTGATTTTAAAAATGTGTAAAAGATCTTAACAGACTCCACCAAAAAAGATACAGAGATGACAAGCATCTGAAAAGATGCTCCATGTATTCATCATCCAGGAAATGAAAAGTAAATAAAACAACAAGGAGACAGTGCCGCACCCCTGCTAGAATGGCCAAGATCCAGACATTGGCAATGCCATCAAGTGCTAGTGAGGATGTGGAGTGACGGGAACTCCCCTCCTCACTGTGGGGAGTGTGAAATGGTGCAGCCACACTGAAGACCACTAGGCAGTTTCTTACGAAACTGCACATTTGCCATGCCGTCCAGCAGTCAGGCTTCTAGGTAGTCTCCCAGATACTTGAAAACTTCTGTTCACACAAAAACTTGCACATGATTTTTTTTTTTTTTTTTTTTTTTGAGATGGAGTCTCACTCTTGTTGCCTAGACTGGAGTGCAGTGGTGTGATCTCGGTTCACTGCAGCCTCCGTCTCCTGGGTTTAAGTGATTCTTGTGCCCCAGCCTCCTGACTAGCTGGGATTACAGGCATATGCCACCACCCCCAGCTAATTTTGTATTTTTAGTAGAGGTGGGGTTTCACCATGTTGGCCAGGCTGGTCTTGATCTCCTGAGCTCAGGTGATCTACCCGCCTGTTGGGATTACAGGCATGAGCCACCATGCCCAGCACACATAAATGTTTATAGCAGCTTGGAAACAACCAATGTGCCTTTAAAAGATGAATGAATAATCAAACTGGCCTATCTGGACAAGAAGTGCTGAGAAGGAATGACCTACCAGGCTGTGAAAGGACGTGGAGGAACCTTAAATGCATGTGACTACACAGAAGAAGCTCGTCTCCGACGGCTGCGCACTGTAGGATTCCGGCTCCGTGTCACTGTTGGGTTCCGACTCCACGGCATTCTGGAAAAGACAGAACTGTGCAGACTGGAAAGGTTCAGTGACTGCCATGGGCTGTGGGGAGGGAGGGATGAATGGGCAGAGCACAGAGGAATTGCACAGCAGGGAAGTACCTCTGTGTGATGCTGTCATCGTGGGCACATGCCACTGTGCATTTGTCCAAACCCACAGGATGGACACCACCAAGAGTAGCCCTCGTGTAATCTGTGGACTTAATAATTATCAATATTCGCTCATTACAGCAAATGTTTCACACTAACACAAGATGTTAATGCTGGGAAACTGGTGGGGAGGGGGTTATATGTGAACTCGGTGAACTTGGTGGTCAACTTTTCTGTAAGCCTATAAAAAATAGTCTTTTAATTAAAAAATACATCAACATTCTTATTTTATTGTCACTGAAAACGTGAGAGGTAGACCAGCCCCGCCTTAGTCTTCTGTTTTTTTTTTTTTTTTGAGACGGAGTCTCGCCCTGTCGCCCAGGCTGGAGTGCAATGGCGTGATCTCGACTCACTGCAAGCTCCGCCTCCCAGGTTCATGCCATTCTCCTGCCTCAGCCTCCCAAGTAGCTGGGATCACAGGCGCCCGGCACCAAGCCTAGCTAATTTTTATATTTTTAGTAGAGGTGGGGTTTCACCATATTGGCTAGGCTGGTCTTGAACTCCTGACCTCAGCTGATCCACCTGCCTTGGCCTCCCAAAGTGCTGGGATTACAGGCTTGAGCCACCACACCTGGCCCCATCTTAGTCGTGTAACTGGAGTTTAGGTGACTGGAGTTTAGGGAAGTGAGGGTGCCTCGCCTGAGAGCTGGTTAGCAGCACGTTTGAGCTGATCTCCGGTCTCCTAACTCTGTGGCTTAGTTCATTTCTACAATACAGAAACTGAATGGCCCATCACCCCCTGCCCAAGCCTGCTGGAGGAGGCTGGCTAGCTGGACGTGAGAGTCTGGGAATGAAGTCAGCTGTCTCAGCGCCAGGACTCTGGCTGTCTTCGGTGAGGAGCCAGGTCAACAAAGCAGAATGAGAAGTTCTTAGAATTCCGGATTTGCTGCATTCACTCTGGCAGGTGATTTTTCTCCAGGGCCTTGGTTATTCAAGTAGCAGGAGTGAAGGGGTTAACTGGCAACCCTAATTAGAGTGAGGTGCGGTGTAGGGCCACCTCACAGGCAGCTGAGATTGAAGACGTGGCTGGGTTATAAACGCACACACGAGACACGTGGGCTTGTGTGGGCTTCCTGTGACATTTCCAGTGTTGAGGTGTCTGCTGCTGCTGCTGCTGCTGTTGTTGTCGTTGTTGGTTGTTTGTTTTTGGAGCTTGTTAGTGTTAATGGTAATAAGAAGTAGATTAAAGTTACTGCTAACTAAGACGATTTCTTTACATACTAAATTTGGTTTTAGGTTTAGATTGTTGTTTCCAAATTAAAGAAATAAATGAAGAAGGATAAATATTTCTGATTTTTGGCCATTTTGGTTTTTTGCTGTAGATTCTGTCATGACTCCAGGAGCTTTCCATAGTTCTTGTGGTCGCCTTAAATACAGCATTTCAGGTGGCCTTCATTATGTAAACTTTCAAATCCGCTAGTTGGAAATGAGAATGGAGTTTTGGGATGACACCCCAGGTCTTGCAGAAAGATCACTTTTGTGACCAGCGACTGGCTGTCGCTGCCAGCTCTGCTGATACCGTCGAATAGCAGAGCCCCTGGCCTGCTGGCTGCGGCTGAGAAATGAAAACAGCCCTGGACTCCAGAAACACCTTCAGGGCTCTCCGCTTATTGATCACCTTGGCTTTTCTGTCCTAATGGAATGAATTTCATTGTCGTGGACCAAATGGCTTCACTGGGGCCGTAGAGAATGGAAAGGGTGGACGCCTCCGGCAAACCGTCTGTGTCTGCATGACACTCACGGCAGTGACTCAGTCGTTACCACGGGGACTGATAGAGTCCTTTTCCAATCCCTAACCTGGACTTAAACCATTTTTAACTTTTATTTATTGGCAAAAAATGTAAAGACGATAACTATCCTTTCATTCGCTTTTTCATTTATTCCACAAATACTTAATCACGTGCGTGTGCCAGGCAAGCTTCTTGGTGATGGAGGCGCAGCAGGTAGCGTGTGCACCCTGTGCAGAGGGCAGTCAGTGAGAAAGACGGAGAAGAAGCAGACAAATCATGCTGTAATAAGTGTCATACCAAATCATGAGGCCTATAAAGAAATGATGAAGTAGGACTAGGGTGGAGGAGCAATGGGCGTTCTCTCAGGTAGGAAGGCTGCTCATGACCTGAGGGTGAGCTGTGCCCATCCCCTGCTGGACAAATATTTCATACGTGGGGGCCACACGTGCAAAGGCCCTGAGGTTGATGTGTATGTAAGTGGCCAGAGAACAGCGGGAGCAGAGGGAGTGGGAGGAGAGTGGGGCAGTGAGGTGGGAGGCAGCCAGGACCGGGTGGTGCAGGGCCCAATCCAGGAAAATGAATGACTGGGTCTCTTCTGAACATGCACAGACTTCTTTTGGACGTTGTTCCCTAAACGATACAGTATAACAACTATTGACATAGTATTTACAATGTCCTAGCTATCACAGGTGATCTGGAGATGACTTAAAGTATCTGGGAGCTGCGTAGGTTAGATACAGACACTGCCCCTTTTTATATAAGGGACTTGAGCATTTGTGGAGTTTGGTGTCTGCGGGGGGTCCTGGAACCCCTCCCCCACACATACCAGGGATGACTGCACTTCCCTCTCATGCTTGCAGAATTCCTAAATACCTGTGTAAGAAGTCTGAAGCCCTAGCACAGCATCTGCTTTGACCATTTAACAGAAATCAAGAAACCAAACATTTCATGGATCCGTAGCTCCTGTCATACTTGTTACCACTTAGTAGGTCTTGTTGAATGATAGAATAAATGAATATGTAGAGTCAGGTAGTTTATCCGCTTTTATTTTAACAGTGCTTTTGAAAAGTTGTTACCTTTAATATGACATCAAATATGGAATTCCAAACAACCCAAGAATAATTCAGGAAATGACAAGACACATACCTGGCAGCGTGAGGCATGGTGGTTGCAGACCTGGCGAGGCTCCATTCCTGCTCAGGCACAGCGGCGCTGACGCACAGGCTGTATCATTTTGTAAGCAGGAGACACCTAACTTCCCGGTGGAAATATGTTTGCTGGTGGGTGCTCGCATGTCTTTGCCAAGGCATTATTCTTTGTTGATGATTCACATGTTGTTTTATCCTTTAGGTAATATTGTAGGGCTCAGTATAAATAAATGCAAATTGTCCTCTTTGAAATCATTAGGAAATTGTTTTAAAAGGCTCTTATGCATAAATTCTCATCCCACCAACTGTTTAGAAATTTCTTTTGAAAGAAATTCCAACCTTCTGCATCAGTGTTTCTGACACAGTTCTCTGTAATTCTCCTGAACTATACGCAGAAACAGTCATTTCGTGGTTTCATGAATTTATGATGAGGTCTCTTCTAGTAGAGCCAAATAAAATTGAACTTGAAATAAATTAAAACCTCTCTTTTGAGATCTGTGTGAGCTGTGGAGACATGTGATATGTTGATGCTGACGGGCAAAGCCGCCTGGAAGTCAGCCAGCGCGTTTCTGCCACAGTCGGAGTGAGCACCTGTGGGCCGGAGCCCCGTCACGGCCAGGAGAAGACTCTGGGCCTCGTCCAGAACAAAAATAATCCACGGGCTGAGTCGCACCCAAATTCCGACATGTCCTGTGGAGAGGGGATCCTTTTCTCAGGTATGTTGGAGCAAGTCCTGGACAGTCAGCAGGACTGGACTCCAGTTTTCTTTTTTGTTTTCTTTTTTCTTTTTTTTAGACGGAGTCTCGCTCTGTCGCCCAGGCTGGAGTGAGTGGCGCGATCTCGGCTCACTGCAAGCTCCACCTCCGAGGTTCAAGCCATTCTCCTGCCTCAGCCTCCTGAGTAGCTGGGACTACAGGCGCCGCCACCACACCCGGCTAACTTTTTGTATTTTTTAGTAGAGACGGGGTTTCACTGTGTTAGCCGGGAGGGTCTCGATCTCCTGACCTCATGATCCGTCCGCCTTGGCCTTGCAAAGTGTTGAGATTACAGGCATGAGCCACCGCGCCCGGCTAGACTCCAGTTTTATTCCTGGAAATAACTGTGTGGTCCTGGGAAAACCTTTTGACTCCACCCTGCCCTCAGTTTTCTCGCCTGTGAAATCAGCAAGTGAGAACAGATGTCGTCCACCGTTGCTTGGAACCTCAGGTGTTTTGAGTCCAACTGGACGTGGTTGAATTTGAAGCTTCGGCTTCAAAATGGGTTCCGCAGGGTCCCAAAGTCTGGTATTGACTGAGGACGCACTGCTGACATGGGACTGTGGGAGGTCTCTGATCATGATGTTATTTTATATTTTACTTATTAGCATACATAATTGATCCACAAAATCAGGAAAATAAATCATAGTACTTTTCCACTGCCACAGAGAATATGAGTTATTTGAATATCTGAGTCAGTTAGTGTCTCTCTCCAGAAACACAGATATGAATATGGCAATGAAATGGAGTTCAGGGACATGCTGTGAAATCTTGTACTTTGCTATTTGTGAATTGTCTATGCATGCATGATTCCGTTGGAAGGTGTGAATCCTGTGAGGTTTATTTGGTGCATATTATTCCTGTTGCTGACGGCCAAGGAGGTTCAGACACACAGTGGTTAAGGGACCAGCCTTTTTTGTGGAGGGGGCAGTGGCAGGATTGGGGTGGAAGTTGGGGTCTGGACATGCTCTCCCTCTGCCAGCTGCACCAGGGTCATCTAAGGATGTGCTTTGATACCAATGGCGTGGATTTCTTTGTAAACAAACCCTCAAGTCGTGGATGGAGTGCTAGATTGCATCACATAACAAATATTGATGACATCCCAAATATTTAAGGTTAGCTGTCCTTAGACTCACTGTGAAGAATAATTTCTCTGTTCTCATTTCCAAGTAAACAGACACAGCACCTTGTGTTTCGGCATTCCGCTGGTGCCCACACCGCTCGGAATTAACATTTCAGGATGCTGGATGTTAACCGCTGTCAGATCCATGCTTTGCAAGTATTTCCTGCCATCTGTGGGTTGTCTCTTCACTCTGGTGATTGTTTCCTTTGCTGTGCAGAAGCTCCAGTTTGATAGAACCCTCAGCACCATGGATCATCAGGGAGATGCAAATCAAACCCACAACGAGCTGTCCCCTGGCCCTTGTTCGAGTGGCTTTCACCAAAAAGACAAAGACAGCAGATGCCAGCACGGGTGTGGAGGGAGGGGAACTCTTACACACAGTTGGTGGGAATGTAAATTAGTACAGCCGCTATGGAAAACAGTGTGGAGGTTTCTCAAAATGCTGTGATCCAGCAATTCCACTACTGGCTACAACCCCAAGGAAATGAGGTTGGTGTGTGGAAGAGAATCTGCACCCAGGTCCATTGCGGCACTGTTCCCCATAGCCCAGATATGGAATCAGCCTGCTTGTTCATCAACAGGCGAATGGATAAAGAAAATACGGTACACAGTAGATATGACTCAGCCATCAAAAGGATGAAATCCTGTCATTTGCAGCAATGTGGATAAACCCAGAGGACGCTTTGCTAAGTGAAGTGAGCCAGGCAGAGAAAGGCAAACACCACATGATCCCACTCGTGCAGAATCTCAGAAAGCGGATCTCACAGGAGCAGAGCGTAAAATGATGGTTACCGGGGATTGGTGGAGGTGGGAGGACAGGGATGCGGGAGATGAGTTAGCAGGTGCAGCGTCTCGGGTAGGGGGAAGAAGCTCTTGTGTGCTGCTGTGTGGAAGGGTGACTACAGGTGACAATACTGTACGGTGTGTTCCAAAATAGAAGAGAAGATTTGGAATGTTCTCACCATAACGAAACGATGAATGTAGGAGATGATAGAAATGCTACACACCCTAATTTGAACATTGCACAAAGTCTCTGTGGATTGGAACATCTCACTGTGCCCCATGAATAAGTACAATTGTTGTGAGTCAACTAGAAAATTTTAGAAACCTCACTATTCTGGGACATCTTTTGGCCAGAAAAATACGTAAGGCCAATCTCTGCAGTGGTTTTGGGAGAGACTTGGATCATCAAGGTGCTTCCGCATGATATGATATTTTAACTCACTTTCGCTCAAATGACTGGGAGTTAGGAGCTATAAGCATAGGACTCAAGGACGACAGTCACCGGCGCACTTTCAGTAAACCTTTTGCAGTTGCACAATGCTGAGCGTTCCGTTTCAGAAGTGGGCGCACCTGCTGATGGGAGGCCCGTGGGAGCTGCCAGGGTCCTGCGTTAACGCTGAGAGCTTGTTTTTAAAGAGGGATGGCTTAAAAGAGTAAAATATTATAAAATGTTAATATTTATATTGGTCAATGTTCTTGTCATTGATAATTGTAAGACCAATTATACACCTCCCTCTTTAAATGTTTCTTCTTAAATATTTCAAGTTAAATGTATTCTTAGATATAGAAAAACTGGGAAGTGGATTTAGGAATCTCAGATATAAACTTGTTGAACATCTGAATTGTTTCTAGATGGAGTAATCTTGTTTCCATTCTCAGATTTGGAAATGATGTTGTTTTCAATCTCGGCTATGCGGTCTCATGGCCACTGTCCCTGTAGGACCCCCATGGAACCAGGGGGGCCCTTCCAGATTTCCACGGGCTGACCTGGCCCACCAGGATGATGGGTGCCCTCACTGGATGTGCTGTCTGCAACATCTTTGCTCCAGCAAGACTGATGTATGGAAATTTCCTTTAAGGGATCTTCTAGCTATTCCTGTTGAAGTCCAGTTAATACAAAATGACAGAGAGGAGAGTTATTGCTTCTAAATGCTGAGCTCATGCCACAGGCTCATGCTTTTATATTAGCTTCTGGTGGAGAAGATGGATTTTAAGATTGTGCTCCAGAGTTAGACTTTCTGGGATGTGTCTTGATTTGCGGCATCAGGTCTACCTGCAGCCTCCTTGCAAGCCTCGTGTTGTTCTCAGTGTTGATCAAATTCTGTGATGTGCCCGAGGCTGTTTACTTTGTGAGCCATTGTGTGACTTCCAAAATCTATAATTCTCCATCTGCCTTCTCATCCTTCCTTCCAAATTGCTCACCTCTCTCCAGCATACGCATTTCCATGGTATTTACTGTTAGGAAAGGTAGGGTTTATAGCTAAATCTGGTTTTAAGGTTGTGGGAATGGCCACTCGCCCTCACAACGTGCTCTTTTTTTAATAAGGCCGCTGTGAGCTGCTTGGATGTCTGCCACAGAGCCCTTTTCCCTCCTGGCAGGGATGGGCCTTCGTGGACGTGGACGTGGACGTTCCAGCTCGTTCGACGGGTCTCCCCAGCTATGGGGCCCTGAGCTTGCGCCCTCAGGGAGAGGTGCGGTCTGCAGCTAACAGCAGGGCAGGGGGAACAGCTGCCTAATGCATTCACTTGAAATAAGAACATGTTTTTCCGGCCCTCCCTGTTCATCCTACATTAAAAGCAGGGAAAGGGGAGTGCTTAGTTGGGTACAATATTCGAATCCAGTTACTTTTATGGGTCTCTTTTTAATTTTGATGGGGAAGAAACTGTGTGCTCTTGGGACAGGATGGTGTTTGGAGCCATGGTGCTTATTGGTTTATCTCAGGCATAGCAGCAGGCAGAGTCCTCTGCTCTGTGTGTCCTGCAGCATGGCTGGCCGGGGCCCTCGGTGCCTCTCACACACCCTCAGCATCCTGATGCCCCGTGCCTGGCCAGGCTCCTTACCCCAGGCCTGTCCAGGTCTTCCAGAGCCGTGCCCGTATCTCTCATGGAATCTCTTTCACAAGGGGCCCTGATTCCCGCTTCTAGGTGTCTTGTCCGGGAAACATGTGTGGGGCACATGCTCTGTGTTGGGAGTCAGTGCCAGGCAGGTGCAGGTGACCAGGAGACCTCAGGGCCTCGGAACCATCTCTCAGGGTCCGAGGCAGCGTCTCATCAGGCCTGCCTTCCAGTGCTTTCATTTCAGTTCCCATCTGCATAGGGTAGCTGATCAGCCCCCACCTTCTGGTAAACTCACTTCTCAAGGGCCTGGCCTATCAGTTGATTCTGAAAAGAAGGGTCTGGAGGACCGGGGTGCTGGGTTTGTGTCTCCGTGGGACAGGAGAGTTGGCCTTGGTTCATGTGGCCATCGGGAAGGGCTTGCTGCCATCTCTGATGGCTCCTGGGAGCTGTGCAGCTTCTGGCCACCACGCCAGGGCCTTCTAAACACTTTCTCAGACGTTGTTAACTGTGAGCATCAAAATAATACAT